CTCTTCGGTATGTGGAATTTGTCTTGGATTGAACTTTAGAAATATCTAATGTCATGAAATATGAGAACAAGTGGTTGTAAAAGTCAGATGTCAAAGTTTCTGCTAAGTCGTCAAAATATTCTGTATCTTGCATATGAGCTTCTGACGTTCTGACAACTACATATCTTCTGTCAGAACTTTCTAACTTCATCGGAACAGCATTGTTTGAAACCATGATGAAATTTGCAACATTTTCACAAACTCTTTGGTCTCTATACTTTCTTTCAACAACTCCAACTTTGTCTGTTATAAGACTCTTCAAAGCATCTGAGTTTAAAACCTTTGTTGTATCTATACTTTGAAGTTCGTTACATACTATAAGTTTCATATTCTCTATTGAAGAGTTAAATTTACCGCAGATGTTTTCTAAGTTTGTCATATTCGGGTTCGAATAGCCCTCTAACAGTTTGCATAAGATATCTGTAAAGAAAGTGTTCTTACCTGTTCCTTGTTTTCCAATTATGATGAGAGCAGTTTCATTTTTAGCACTTGGATGTTGTAAGATGTTTGCAAACCAACATAAGATATACTCATAGACTCTTTCGTTTCCATTGCATATAATTTCTTTGACATGGTCTAACCAAGCTTCTATAACATTTTCTTTCCATTCTACTTGTTCGTATTTATATCCAGTGAAGATAGAATAGAAGTTTGGAGAAGGTGTATAGAACTTTATACCACGAACTGAAAAATCTTCTAACTTTGACAATAAGATATCCCAAGCATCTAACATCTTCATACCAACTTGTACGACTTTTATTTTCTTAAGTTTCTGTTACATTCTTGTTCTGAAACTATTGTCGCTCTTGGTTTTGTTAAAGACTACATCCCATTCTTTCATGACATAACATTCTGGGGCAGAGTCGACATAAATGACTAAACGTTTCAAATTCTCGACTGCTTTGTTATAGTCTCGAAATGGACACATATTTCTGAATGCTTGGAAGTCATAAAAATCTGAAACATCTATTCTGTACATTTTTATAAAAATAAAAAAAATATTTTTTTTTATTCTTGACTTTTGTTGTTCTTGACTTTTGTTGCATTTGTTCCATTTGTTGCATTTGTTGTTCTTGAGCTATTGTTGTTGAAGTTGTTCTTGTAATACAATACTTTCACCAGTTGCATCTTCCAATTCGAAACTTTCTGCCGTCATTGACAAATACATAGGACATAAAAGTTTTACAGGAACAAAGTTTGCGTCAACTAAGTCAACGTTTATTGTTTGCCAAAGTGTTTGAGTTCACTAAGCTTGAAAATTCTGCATTCGAATGAACAATAGGCAAACCAGCAGAGAAAGTGTTGTTTATACGCATAAGTATCTTTTGGTCATAGTAGTTTCTGTCGACATTCGAATAGCACTTTGAACCTAAGTTTGAAACAATATATAAATAGGTGTACTTAAAGTCAATGGAAGACATTCCTTGTATGACACCTTTTCCTGTTATAGGAAACTGTTGGTAGTAAAAACCAGATAAGTTTTGTATTATAGCTCATATCGTTTATAGTAAACTCAGTCGGACATCCAAACATAATGAAACCTGCTCTAGTTGCAGCACATGTTACACCGTCCTTAAAGTATTAAATAAGTCAACAAAACCTGTTGGTGGTATATCTGAGTAAGTATCTTCAAAGGAGTATTTTTTACCATTCACAACAATAAAGTCTTCTGGTGTCAAAAGAGCAAAACAGGCTTTAGTCGTCATTGTGTTTAAGGTTAGTTTACAATATCGTCCTTGAGGACTTTGTAAGTTTGTTGTTATAGAATTATATGACTCAGGGTTTTTAGTCGTAATAGTATAAACCATATGTCTTCTGCCATTTATATATATTTAAAAGTTTTTCTGAAAGTGGAGAAGAACTTCATCTAAACTTTCACATGGCGTTTCTTGAAGTTCTCTGTCTAAGAAGTTCAAATATTTTGTAAAGACATAGAACTTTCCTTTGTCTACACGAACAAACAAAACAGGGTCTTTCATATCGTTCAAAAGTGTGTAAAGTCCTTTACATGAAATAAAGTCTATATTATTTTTCTTCAAACATCTTTCAAGAAGTTTTGACATTTTTACTTAGCAAATAAATTTTAATGAAATGTTGTGGTCGTCAAATATTTTTATGACGTCTGGGAAACTATATTTTAAGTTCAACGTTTCACCTCCTTTCATAACGTATATCTTGTCAATGACATTATATGAAACACCACAGCAAGCAATGTCGGGTTCTATTTCTTTGATGTTTATATCGTCTGCCTCTGTCAAAAGTTTCAATAGTTCTTTCAAAACTTCATGAGGTGCATGACATATGAGTTCACTTTTACAGGGTTGTGTTCGACCAAGTTTAACATTATACCCAAAGCTTGACAAATCTTCTCCTGAGTTTGAAGTTTGTCTTTAAGTTGTTGGTAGTCGTTTCGAATATCTGCAACAGAACTTAAGTCTCTGCTAACTTCAGGATATGTTGGTTGTTCTTTTACAGGAACTATTGTTATACCATCTTCGTCTTCGTATGGTTTCCCCACTTCAACATCTCTGTCTTTGACATTGACAACAACACTTTGACTGTTTGTTTGAGTTGGTGAATTTAACTTCACATCTGCCACCGCCATTAAACCTTTTGAAACACTTACGCTTCTATTTTTCGGAAATGACATTTTACTTAGAATAAAAAGATGGACGTATTTGAGTATCTCTTCGAATTGAAGCAGAACAAAGTTTACACACACAAACAATACAAATCATTGACAGAATAGTTCTTTATACAAACAATGGAAAATGTTATAGAATAGCAGTCTTTGCTGAACCAAAATATTTTCATAAAGCAAAGAAAGTTGGTATAACCGAGATGGTGAAAGTTCTTGAAGCAGACAAAAATATAACAACAAAACTACGATATTTCTAAAGGTAAGTTTATAATACAATACTATGTCAAAACTGGCGTACTGTCAATATTTGACGGAGAGAAGTCAGTTCAAGAACAACTTACTGACCTGCTGCCAAAATCTGCTCGATGGAAGCTGTCGTTATACCAATCTGAGGAGCCCCAGCAGGTTTCATCGAACGAATCTTCAAAAGAGCATCTTCCGTGAAAAGTGCTATTGGTTTTGTAAACTTCTTTGCTTTCAATTCATCTGGACCGTCTCTGTCACCAGTATATTGTATTTGAACTGTACCAACAGTTGAAATACCACCCATAAAGTCTTCTGAGTCAGCAAATGGAATGCCAAGCCAAAAGTTTGAACGGTCTCCATTTGTATATTGAGTTTTTTGAGCTCCTGTATGGTCCATACTTTCACATATGGCATAATAGAACTTTGCATTTCAGGGTTAATGGTTGTTGTGAAGTTGTTGTTAAAGTTCATAGCATCTAATGTCAAGTTGTATGACCTCATATCCTCAACTGTAGAATATTCTTCTCTTGGATAGTATTTGCCATCTATGTTTATATTGATATTTAATACCGGGGTTGTAGAAACAAGAATAGTCATTTATAGTTCGTCTGAACAGTACAAACATAGTATCTGCATGTTTCATTGCAGTTGTTAAGGCAATATCTGTTCTTGCACCTGGGTCAGCACTTTGGTTTCCAACTTCACCTGCAAAGTCTTTGACAGATATTTGGTGTATAGGGAACATAAGTGGAACTGCAATATATTTGGCAGCTAAAGCATTTGAAATATCTGGGTCCAACATATAGACTGCAAGTCTGCTTTCTATTCTCTTGCATTCAAATTTTCGCATGTGAACTTAACTGGGTCCCAAGCAGTTCCAGCAGCATTGAAATATAGTTTACTTCAGTTGTTGAGGTTTGAGAAACCAAAGTCTAAGTCAACTTTGTCTTTGCAAAATTCGGCGAATGACGTTTGATTTGCTCCCTTTACGTCTGTAAGAGTGAATGGGTCTTGTGTTGGTGCAATGACTAAGTTATTTTTGCTTGGAGTAAGTTCGATAGAAATTTTTCCTGCCCAGTTTGGCAAGTATCTTAAAAACCTGAAGATGAGGAAAGATGACAAAGGAACTCTAAGTTTCAATTTTACTTTGGTTACTGCTGCTGCAGTTTGTCCAGAAAGGTTAACATAAACTCCTGGAACGTTAGGGTCAAGTCTTCTTATTTTCTCAATAGTTGCATACTGGTCTGTTTGTTCTCTAGCTTGTGGTTGTACTGAGTTTCTCAAAGCGAACCATTCATAGTTTGCCCATGTTACTGTTTGAACTAAGTCAGAGTTAGAATATATCTTATATCCCATGAAAATTCTGGAGCATATTGGTATCCGACATAGAAAATTCCATTGCAACCTTTCTTGTCAGACAACTTGGCAGAAGGTTTTATTTCAATGTCTTGTTCCACGTATAAGAAAGAGTTGTCAATAGAAATTATATGAAACCTGTCGCAAGCAATATCTACTGTTGTTGAAGAACCTTCTCCAAACTCACCTACGTTTCCATAAGAAACAGCAGTTGTATATTCGTAAGTTCCAGGAACTATTTCTGACCTTCTAATGGCATTGTCGCATTCGTTATACCATTCGGAAACATTTCCATTCATGGCATCCAAAACTGTTGGCGTTATATTCTGAGCGGCGTACATTTCATATGGGTAAAAATATAGAATAGTTGGATTTATATGTCATAATAGAACCCACTCCGACCAAGCTTTACTTTCTTCCTGACTGAGTTTTTAACTCTTCTTTTTCCTTCATTGCCACTACTTTCACTAGATGAAGTTACTTCTTCACTACTTTCACTTTGTTCTACTCTTCTTCTTTGGTGTCGCTTTGGTAACTTGCCCTCTGCTTGAAGTTGTTGCATCTTTGCATTATGTTCATCTAGTATGTTGCAAATTTCCCATGTCCTTTTTGCCTTTGGCTCTGGTCGCCCATCTCAGGTAACCTATATCCTAGAAAGAGTTTGTCATAGTCTGTATTTGAGTCTTCGCGTATTGTTTGCATGACTCTTTCCTGAGTTTCCGGTTCAAGCTCTTCAAACAGTGCCTGTCCATATGGAATATGCTCGTTTCCAAATATATGTTTTTGTAGCCATTCTGGTTTTCTTTCCATGTTACCAATTATATCTTTTGTGAATGGGAAAGCTTTTACCCAATCTTTCAGTCTTGCGTCGTTTATTTCTGTAGTTGGTTTTATTTTGTCAAGGAACATGTTTTTCAATACTAACATTTCATTTGGTACTGTCCATTTGAGTTTACTTAAATATTCATCCATTCTCGGTTCATTGTCTGCAAAGTAAGTTTTTATGACATTTTGTAAACTTTCATTTGCAAGGTCATGTACAATAGGTTCTCTTCCTTCTCTGTCCATAACTTTCTTTCTAAACTCTTCACCAAATATACCATCTTTATGGTTCTGTGTAGTTCTTTGAGATAAATGTTCTAGAACGTCAGGTGTTATATTTCCATCAGCCATGTTCATTTCATACTGGTTCAAAATATCTGCATGTTTCATATCTTTCAATGGCATTAAAGCCGCGCTTAAAATACCAGCTATATCTCGTTCACCATTCAATTCCATTGCGTCTACAACTTCTTGGAATTGTGGTTGTAAGTTTATGAACCACCTATCCGGATTAGCTTTATGACCCCATCTCATTGTAGTTCCATCGTCTGCAGAAACAAAAGTAGGTTTGTTTCCATCTTGGTTAGGTTCTGAATGAACTTTAAACAATGTTTCATTTCTATATGTTTTCTTGAAATTTAACCTTTTATTTTCACCGAGTTCATCCAAAGATTGAACGTTAAATGCTCGTAAGTAAAAAGGGTTGTTGTATTTGTGTACATTTTCTTTCAGTACTTCCATTCTATGCCGAATATTTTCATCTGGTGTTGGAGTCTTTTGTATGTCGGCAAACATTTTTCGATATTCTTCTACTATGTCAGCCGAATTTTTTTTAGACTCTTGGAAATATTCCATATTCTCCGCATACTCTTGTTGAGGGTCAAGATTTTTCGGCTGTTCCAAATCTTCATCTAGTTCTGTGAAGTTAGTTTCCAAAGGAGTGACTTGTTCGTTTCCTTCAGGCTCTTCTAGCTGTTGTTGCTGAACTATTTCTTCCATGTCTGGTTGTATCTGAACTTCTTCCTGTGGAGTTTCTTGTACCTCATCTGCTGGCATTTCATATATTCCGAGACCGTTTTCAACAATTTCCCTATCTACGTCATCCGCATTCATAAGCTTTTGTTCTTTCGTTCCGTCTCTATTTTTTACGCGTTTCATGAAGAGAGTTGAATTATCTTTATCATTTATCTCTGACACCAAATATCTCGGAGTAAATTCGTTCATGTCATTTGGATGATATGCTATTAAATCATATCCCTTTGCGAGCTTGTATTTTCCAGGTTTGAAATTATGTCCGATTTGGTGCTGAGTCATAAAGCTAAATAGGTTCGGGTCAGTATTTCCATCCTTGAACTTTCGAATAGCTTCTTTATATCTGTCACTAAAGTCAATAGTATCTGGGTAACCATAGTCTTCTTTAAGCATTTTTAAGAATTCTTGGTTTCCTTGTTCTCTACTTCTTTTATGTCCTTGCTCTGTTTGTGGTTGTTGTGCAGGGTTTTGAACTGTTGGTTGTTGTGCAGGGTTTTGAACTGTTGGTTGTTGTGTTGGTTGTTGTGTTGGTTGTTGTTGTTGTTGTGCTGGATTTTGAACTGTTGGTTGTTGTGTTGGTTTTGGTGCATGCCTGTGTCTGTGTCCATGTGACGATGTAAATGTTTTAGGTAGTCCTGGTGCAGGTGCTTCTCTTGGAGGGTTTGGTGGTATATAAGTTCCACTAGCTAGTATATAAGTTCCACCAGCTGGTATATAAGTTCCACCAGCTGGCACATATGTTCCATCTGCAGCGTAATGTCCTACCTGACTTTTCGTTTTTAAGAAAGCATTTACTAGGTCTGTTTTGGTCTGTTGTAACTCTTTTTCTTGACTTTTCACAACAGTTGCTCTAACGGCGTCATAGGCACTTTGAACTGCCTGTCTCGTTGCTGCATCTGTTATTTTCGTCATATTTTGTGCTACTTCTTTTAACTCTTTGTCGAAACCTTCAGACTTCAGTTTCTTTCCAGATGAGAAGTCGTTCACTTGTTTCACCTTACTATGAAGAGCTTCGAAAGGCGTTCTTAAAGTCAGCATTCGTTAAAGCTTCATTTGAACTGTCTTCATCCGCTTGTATTTTTGTCCTTATTGACCCTATAAGTTGGGCTGCTTTAGCGTTGGCTTGGGCATCTAACCAGTCATTGTTAGCTTTTATATATTCTGCGCTTTTCATTGCCTTTTGCATAGCCGCGTCGTTATTTTTACTTTCTTGTGCTAAGTTTTCATACTGTACGGTTTGGTTTTGCAACTGTAAAAGTTTTTCTGCCTTTACATTTGCTTCAACTTCTTTTTTATACTCATCGCTATCCATATATGTCTTCAGGGCTTTTTGTTTTATCTCTTCATCTTTCAGTACTTTATATTGAGTAGTATGGTTTTTCAAATTTACAACATCTTGTTCCATTTTTGCTACTTCTGCTGCTTTTTCTGACACTTTTTTCGCATATTCCTCTGTACTTAGTTCTTTCAGTTGTTCTTCTTTCTTCTTTTTCTCTACGTTTAACTCATTGAGTTTCTTTGTGTGTCTGTCATATTCTAGTTTCTTTTCGTTTTCACTTATTTGTTTCTGTATGTCTATGTTTGACTTTTTGACATCTGTTATTTGATTTTTGAGTGAACTCAAATTCATTTGACTTTGAGGGTTATAGGCTGTTCCGTCTGCAGCTCCACCATAGCCTGCCATTTTCGCTAAAAGTGCCGCTCTTAAACCTCCACTCTGTGCACCAATAACTCGGTTTAAAAGCATAGGATTGCTTGACATTTGTTGCAACATAGTGGGGTCATTCAGCATTTGTTGCAACTGTTGTTGTGGTGTCAGTTTTACTATTGGATGTTTCAATGCTCTCTTCCTCTTACGTATATTCTTACGTAGCTTACGTGGCATTTTAAGTGAAGTTAAAAACGGTTTTTGACAGATGTTTATATGACACTTTTTGTTCAGCACAAAAAACTACTCGGTCAAAGTGTTGTCAGTTTTGTAAAATAACCGTCCTATCTCATTCTATAAGGGAAAAGGCTTCTCAAAGTATACTTCCTTGGAACGCCTGTAACTTTTCCTGTAGCGACGATAGACCCTTACTTGTCCGGACAAAGTTATACTATTTTGAGTGCTCTACAAAAAAGTCAACGGCGACGACTCTCAAAAAACGTTGTGTAAAAAGTTTTACCGTTGGACAAAAAAGTATATATAGAAAACAAAAAACGTTTATAGTTCATTCAATATTTGAGATGGAACGGTTTGCCAACGGAGACTTTTCAATAAAATAAAAAAATAGGGGGTTACCGTTGACGAAAACGGTTTATTTTAAACTTTTCTATGAGTAGTCCGAAAAAAAACAGTTCATTTTTGTCTAATGTACGCGTCTCGAACAGTGAAGCCCAATTCAATAGAATACTATCTCGAAAAACAAGAAGCTGACACTGCTATTCAGTCTTTAATACAGAACCAAGCTCAGGAGAACTCAAAAGACTCCCATTTCAAATCGACATCCAATTCGAAGCAATTAAAACTTGACTCGAATGTTTTAAAACCACAGCCCGCACGAACAAATACAGCTCTAAGAATAGACCAAAGAATACCGAACAAAGAGTTGAGGTCAAGATTGAAATTACAATCGGATGAGTATTTTTCCCTTAACAACCAGGGAAATACTCCATATAACCGTATCTACACAAATACCGTTAAAGAAACAATAACGGCATACACAAAACTCTGTCAAATGGTCCCCAACCAGGACCAATTGACGGATATTATATGTTCCTACCTTCCCATATTTGCTGAGTGTGTGGAAGGTAGGACATTGTTACAAGCTTGCTTACGTATGCCACCAAATCTCCGTCAACAATTTGCTCAAATTGTACATGAATTTAAAGCTTTTAACAACGGATACGATGGAGATGAAGTTGCAGATGAATTTGGGGAAGCAAAAACATTTTTCCCCTCATATAATACGCCTGCAACAGTATTTCCTACTAATGAATTTCACAACTATTGTGTCGTTCATTTAATTGTTGTGGATATGCCCACAGGCGAAGACATTCTCAGTGGTGACTTCATCGAAGTCTGTATCAATACAGAATTGGGAGAAGATGAGTTGCATAAATTCTCCTACGTCGAACATATATTCAAACCAGCACACCAACTCTTTATCGAAACTGAAATAACACTCACACAAAATATGTCCATCTCATTTAAATCCAAATCAGGACGTCCATACAGAATTTGGATGAACTACGTCCTCTTCCACGACGCCGACGATGACGAAGAAGAGGAAGAAGAGGAGGAGGAAGAAGAAGAAGAAGACGATATCCAGTTCATTTCCATCCGTAAAAAACATTAAAGCAAACATTTCCGAATAAAAACTTCAATTTTACTAAACATCTTCAGGGCTAGAAGGGGCGCAACCCCTGGAAGCCCCGATCCCTTTTTTTTTTTTAATATATAACTATTTTATATAAAAATCAAATTCAATGATCTTAAAAGCGAAGGATAAACCTCAAAATTTACGAATATAATGAGTGGGAATATAATGCTTATCTATCATAAAACCATATGAAATATCAATTTTTGCTTTACGCCTAATTTTTGACGACAATTAGCAAAAAATGTTAAATGTTAACACTCAGTCCATTTGAATATGAAAAATAAAATTGACTTTGATTAAATGTTTTTATTTATCATGCAATTCTTCTTGCGACCAAAGATTTGAATAAAAGTTCAAAAAATAAGATAGCTTAAAAAATAATATACGGTAGTGTTTACTAATAGATGAATAGTATATAAATTCTATTAAAATGGATTTGATCCAAAAAAATATATAAAATTTGATCATAAATAAAATCGTTTTAAATTACTTCTTCATTTAAATTATTGTTGCATGCTAAGTTCGGTCAATGATAGAAATTAAGTGGAAATTAATCGTCGAGGAAGTACGATTATGTAAAGTAAAAAATGTTGTGGGATTTTTAATATTGTATATAATTTTATAATAAAATTTTTTTGAGTCATTTTAAGAAGCACATATAATTTTTTGAATTTAAAAATTAAAGTAGTGTCAAACGAATTTATCACTTAATTTAATACTCAGATTTCTTAAAATTAATGAAAAAAAAGGTTTTCTGAGAACTTTTGAGAATGGTTTTCAAATCCCATTATTGAAAATATATAGGTATTGTATGAAATTCAAACTCTATATTTATTAAAATTCTAAATTTTTAATAAAATAACTTTTCAGAGGAATATGATTTTGAATGGTTGATTAATAAGTATAAAAATGTCTACGATTTTAAGGAGGGAATTGTTCCTTATGAGGTATACATCATAACTATATACCTCATAAGGAACAATTCCCTCTTGATAGCTGGGAAACTTTCTCTGAATAACTTATCATTTGGAGAAAGTTTCCCAGCTATCTATTAGAAACTAAAGGCTGTGAGGCACTAATATATAATCAGTGCCTCATAGCCTTTAGTTTCTTATTAAAAACGAGAAAACTTGTTCGAAATGATAAACAATTTCGAACAAGTTTTCTCGTTTTAAGGAGGGAATTGTTCCTTATGAGGTATACATCATAACTATATACCTCATAAGGAACAATTCCCTCTTGATATCCTGGATATTTTTGAATATATTTTTTTAATTAAAGTTCTCAAAAGTATTATCAAAAGTGATTTTTTAAAAATATCTCCAATTAATTAACTGATTAAAAGTATTATATTTTTAAAATTAAATAGTTTTTCAATTTTTTTGAAGGAATTGAGATACTTCCCACGACAATAAAATTGAGAGGTTTACATTATGACTGATCTTAGCATGCAACATTATAACAATTATTTTTGATTTTTATTTATCATCCACATTCAAATTTGAATCTTATCACAAAAGAAGGACCACTTTTATGACTACTGCCAAATCTATAAGCAGAGAATGGCTATTTGAAGCTAAAAGAAGAATAGAAGAAGGAAGTTGAATTGGAAAATGGTAAAATTAAATTGAATGTTGCCGAAAATACAATAAAAAGAGCATTTCAACTTCAAGAAATCGAATTACCAAAAGTTAGTCGCGGCAGAAAACCAAATCCACCAACATTTGAGCAAAAACAATTAATTAATTCTTGTGTTTCACAATATAAAGGAGGAATTTCAAAAACTTATTTATAGTTAGTATCCCTAAGTTGGGTACTGTGGCACTGCGCGCCTCCATACACCACTTAGCGGTTTTGACACTTTACGAAACCAGTAACGTATATTTTACAACACAAACACAAACACCAACATAACCTTAAATATTTACAAAACCATCTGACACATAAACGACTTCACTAACGACTTCACTAATGACTTCACTACCGTCCTCACTAAATAAAAAATAACCTTATTTTTATTTTTTTAAAATTTTTTATTTCATTACAAAGACATGTCCGACTACATTTACTATGACTCTTTCCCAGAACGTTTCCGTGAACTATTCAAAACTCAAGTAAAACTGAGAAACATGCATTTTAACAAAGACAGACCCATTGACGATGAAAGAAACCCTGAATATATTACAATCCCTTATGACGCAAAGTTCATTGCATACATTCCTTATGGTCGCAGAGGAACGAAAACTATTTCAACAAAGAACAAAAATTATTTCTGGAGCGATGAAGAAAATTGCCTTATCTACATAAATGCATACTTAAATAAAGCTACATATTGTACAAAAGAAGGTTGGACCGGATTTGAGCTCTACATATACGACGACGATGGAAACAGACGCTGTGTATACCCATACGATAATATGTACCATTGTTTTCATCAAGCATTAAACGAATACATAGTCAGTAAGGGTCTCATTCCTGCTGAGTAGAAATGTTATATTTTTGTTCCCACATTTATTTAAAAATTAATGATCTCACCACTCCCACACGTATGAAAACATAGCACAAAAATAAATTTAGGTGAAGTGGTGAGATCTCACCTCTTTTTTCACCTGTTTTTTCACCCACTTGAATTCATTACTTTATAACTCTCTTCCTTTATCCAACTCTTCTAACTTCTTCCTAAGTTCAGCAATGTTGTCCTCATGTAATTTAATCTTTCTCAAAATTCCTTCTTTATCTAATGGTTGCTTTATCTTTCTAAACTGAACTCTACCATCTTTCATAGTATGAATGTAAAAACCTTCTGGAATAGTTCCTGATTTAAGGTATTCTACCAAAAACTTTTGTTTCATTGCTTCAGTGACTTTATTTGTCATTTTACTCTAAGGTGAAGCTAGCACAGCGATAATGGATTTCATGACTTTTAGTATTTCATGCAATCTTAACAGATAGCCTTACAAGTACTTCCAGTGTCCCTAGCTGTCCCTCCTTTTTATATAACTCCATGACATTTATAATCTCGCGAAACTTAACAGGTAGCATAACAGATTAAAATTAGATGAGGTTTTGAACCAAAATTTCTAAGCAACGTTGTCAAGGATTTTGAGGAACTAGGGACAGAGTGTGGCAAAGTCCAAGATTTAATTTATCTTCACCTGTTTCATCAACTATCTCATCTAATATGTCAATATTTTATTCATAACTCGTGGCAAACTCACTAACTTTCATTATGTTCATCTGCATGCTTCATCTGATAGAAAGTATGACTTTCATTAACTCTGTGAGATAATGAAAACTACTAGGGACAGAGACCATGGCAAAGTTTATGACTTTCATTATTTCCAGAACTTAATGAAAACTACTAGGGACAGAGACCATGGCAAAGTTCATGATTTAATTTATTCTCTCACTAACTACAAACACAAACTCCAACACTAACATCAAGTACTAACCTCAACACAAATGACAAATACAAACTCCAACACTAACATCAAGTACTAACCTCAACACAAATGACAAATACAAACAACAAACACAAACTCCAACACTAACGACAAAAATAAATGTCCTCACTTCTTAACAAAGTAATATGTGCTTCTTACACCACCATAGCTCAAACGTTTCTTTTCAAACATCGATTGAAACTTATTTTGAGACATTGGCTTTAGTCTCTTTTTCTTCAAATACGCCAAGAAATCTTCTTCACATCTTTTCACTTCATAGCCTTCTTTAAACTCCTCCTTGTTAAGTTTTATGAAATCCTTTATCTCATTCTTTGTTGCAATGGCTTCTTCACGAACGACATCGTGAACTATTTCATCATTGTTCTCATGTATGACCTCCTCACTGTTCTCATGAACTATTTCATCATTGTTCTCATGTATGACCTCCTCACTGTTCTCATGAACTATTTCATCACTGTTCTCATGTATGACCTCCTTACTGTTCTCATGTATGACCTCCTTATTGCATGAACTATTTCATTATTGCATGTATGACCTCCTTATTGCATGAACTATTTCAACACCGTTCTCATGAACAACCTCCTTATTGCATGAACTATTTCATTATTGCATGAACGACCTCCTTATTGCATGAACTATTTCATTATTGCATGTATGACCTCCTTACTGTTCTCATGAACTATTTCATTATTGCATGAACGACCTCCTTATTGCATGAACTATTTCATCATTGCATGAACGACCTCCTCACTGTCTTTCATAAGCGTTTCAAAGTCTCCTTTACTCATTACTTCAATCTCATGCTGTTCACAGTAGTACTTAAACTCTACCATCGCAGTATTGTAAAATCTACGCTAGTTTTATTTTTTTCTGAAAATTTTTATTTGAGTGAAAGGCATGGAAGGTGAAGGACATTGGCAAACACTCGAACATGACAATGACTATGAAATCTTTTCAGAGTACCCATATCCAATTAGGCGCATAAGTAACAAAAGAGTTGTAAGTGAGTTTGACAACGGTGATGGTTATATTTGTGTTTATTTAAACAAACATAAACTCTTAAAGCATAGAATTATTGCAGAACAGTGGATTGAAAATCCAAACAATTTGAAAGAAATAGACCATATAAATCATGATAGAACGGACAACAGAATCTCAAACCTTCGTTGGTGTTCTAAATCTGAAAACAATAGAAATAAAAGCAAGTATGGCGATATAGTTTATGAGTTCGTTGATGAAATATCTGACGAAGCTGTTGAAATAACAGATTATGGTAAGCATTCGTTTGAGTTCTACTACTATGTTGAGAATGAGGACGCATTCTATTATTATACAGGTCTTAACTATCGAAAACTTCATATAAACTTTACAAAAACAGGTGCTGCTTATGTTTGTATGATAGATACAGAAAACAAGAGTGTAATCTTATTCATAAACAAATTCAAACGCTTGTACGGCTTCATGTAGGACAAACATTATTTTTCAACACTAACGCCAACACGTAGGACAAACATTCATGACTAACATTACTGTATAACATAAATGTTTTGTCAAAACTTCTTCGTAAATGTTTTGTCATGATTTCATCGTAAATGTTTTGTCATGATTTCATTGTATATGCTTTGTCAAAACTTCTTCGTAAATGACTTTGTCAAAACTTCTTCGTAAATGTTTTGTCATGATTTCATCGTATATGTTTTGTCATGATTTCATCGTAATGAGTGTAAATGACCCAAAAATAATGTTTAGGGTAGAAGGGTAGATCTAACCTCATTTCTCACATGTTTTCTCACCCTCTTGAATTTTCATACGGAATCTCTTCCCTCGGTTTTCCGAGGGAAGCAAACATATGAGGAAATTCTTCTAAAAGTTCTTTTGTCTGTTGGTTTTCAAACCAATGATATGCTTGCTTTGTAGAACGAAGAGTATTATAAGGCATTTTGTGAAGAATATAGCAACTGTCTGAATTTCGACGGTTGGTTTTTATACAAAATTCATGCAGGAAATTCTTGAGTTTTGGATGAATGAATACGGTCGAGCCAAAAGTGGCTCGACCTCAAAACAAACATTTACGAGCTTACAAAGGGTGTTATGAATGAATTCAAAGGTATTTGCATATATCCTGACCTCGTTCATTTTGTTGCTGAATTCAGCAAAAATAATGCTTAGGGTAGAAGGGTAGATCTAACCTCTTTTCTCACCTCTTTTCTCACCTCAGCCGCTAAGCGGCAAGACCCAAAGGTCTTGACTTTGTCATGATTTCATCGTAAATGATTTGTCAAATATGAACGTAAATGATTTGTTGAAACTTCTTCATCGTAATGAGTGTAAATGTTTTGTCGAAACTTCTTCATCGTAATGAACGTAAATGACTTTGTCAAACATGAACGTATATGATTTGTCGAAACTTCTTCATCGTAATGAGTGTATATGCTTTGTCAAACATGAGCGTATATGTTTTGTCATAACTTCTTCATCGTAAATGTTTTGTCGAAACTTCATCGTAATGAACGTATATGTTTTGTCAAACATGAGTGTAAATGAATGTGTCGAAACTTCTTCATCGTAATGAGTGTAAATGAATGTGTCATAACTTCTTCATCGTAATGAGTGTAAATGAATGTGTCAAAACTTCTTCATCGTAAATGAACGTAAATGAATGTGTCAAAACTTCTTCATCGTAAATGAATGTGTCAAACATGAACGTAAATGTTTTGTCATAACTTCTTCATCATAATGAGCGTAAATGAATGTGTCAAAACTTCTTCATCGTAATGAGTGTAAATGATTTGTCATAACTTCTTCATCGTAAATGTTTTGTCGAAACTTCATCGTAATGAACGTAAATGTTTTGTCAAACATGAACGTAAATGTTTTGTCATAACTTCTTCATCGTAATGAGTGTAAATGAATGTGTCATAACTTCTTCATCGTAATGAGTGTAAATGAATGTGTCATAACTTCTTCATCGTAATGAGTGTAAATGAATGTGTCAAAACTTCTTCATCGTAAATGAATGTGTCAAACATGAACGTAAATGTTTTGTCATAACTTCTTCATCGTAATGAACGTAAATGAATGTGTCAAAACTTCTTCATCGTAATGAGTGTAAATGATTTGTCATGACTTCTTCATCGTAATGAGTGTAAATGAATGTGTCAAACATGAACGTAAATGTTTTGTCAAACATGAACGTAAATGTTTTGTCAAACATGAACGTAAATGTTTTGTCGAAACTTCTTCATCGTAAATGAATTGTCAAACATGAACGTAAATGAATTGTCAAACATGAACGTAAATGAATTGTCAAACATGAACGTATATGTTTTGTCGAAACTTCTTCATCGTATATGCTTTGTCAAACATGAACGTAAATGAATTTTCATGACTTCTTCATCGTAATGAGTGTAAATGTTTTGTCGAAACTTCATCGTAAATGACTTTGTCGAAACTTCTTCATCGTAATGAGTGTAAATGATCCAAAAATAATGTTTAGGTGAAGAGGTGAGATCTAACACATTTTCTAACATGTTTTCTCACCTCAGCCGCTAAGCGGCGAGACCCAAAGGGTCTTGAATTTTCATGACTTCTTCATCGTAATGAACGTAAATGATTTGTTGAAACTTCATCGTAATGAGCGTATATGTTTTGTCATGATTTCTTCATCGTATATGCTTTGTCAAACATGAACGTAAATGAATTTTCATGACTTCTTCATCGTTAATGCTATGTCAAACATGAACGTAAATGATCCAAAAATAATGTTTACGTTAATGGTTTCCGGTTATTCAATAATTAATTATTTTTGAAGAACTGAAGGAGTCACCAGGTCACCATGTGTCACTCGGTCATTTAACTTCTCTGAAAAAGTGTGACAACAGTCACTGTGTGACGAGACCTGAAGGTCTTGACATTTAGACGACAACACAGGAAATAAATGTTTACGTTAATGATTTCATCGTTAATGATTTGTCAAACATGAGTGTAAATGTTTTGTCATGACTTCTTCATCATAATGAGCGTAAATGTTTTGTCATGACTTCTTCATCATAATGAGCGTAAATGATCCAAAAATAATGTTTAGGTGAAGTGGTGAGATCTCACCTCTTTTCTCACCTATTTTCTCACCTCAGCCGCTAAGCGGCGAGACCCAAAGGGTCTTGAATTTTCATGACTTCTTCATCGTAATGAACGTAAATGAATGTGTCGAAACTTCTTCATCGTATATGTTTACGTTAATGGTTTCATCGTAAATGAACGTAAATGAATGTGTCAAACATGAACGTAAATGAATGTGTCGAAACTTTTCATCGTATATGTTTACGTTAATGGTTTCATCGTAATGAACGTAAATGAATGTGTCAAACATGAATGTAAATGAATGTGTCGAAACTTCTTCATCATAATGAGCGTAAATGATCCAAAAATAATGTTTAGGTGAAGTGGTGAGATCTCACCTCTTTTCTCACCTATTTTCTCACCTCTTGAATTTTCATGACTTCTTCATCGTAATGAACGTAAATGAATGTGTCGAAACTTCTTCATCGTATATGTTTACGTTAATGGTTTCATCGTAAATGAATGTGTCAAACATGAACGTAAATGATTTGTCAAACATGAGTGTAAATGACTTTGTCGAACATAAACGTTAATGGTTTCGGGTTATTCAATAATTAATTATTTTTGAAGAACTGAAGGGGTCACCAGGTCACCAGGTCACCAGGTCACCAGGTAAATGTACTTCTCTGAAAAAGTGTGACAACAGTCACTGTGTGACGAGACCTGAAGGTCTTGACATTTTGACGACAACACAGGAAATAATGTTTACGTTAATGATTTGTCAAACATGAGTGTAAATGTTTTGTCATGACTTCTTCATCGTAATGAGTGTAAATGAATTGTCAAACATGAGTGTAAATGATTTGTCAAACATGAGTGTAAATGACTTTGTCAAACATGAACGTAAATGATTTGTCAAACATGAGTGTAAATGACTTTGTCGAACATGAGTGTAAATGATCCAAAAATAATGTTTACGTTAATGAGCGTAAATGATTTGTCGAAACTTCATCGTATATGCTTTGTCAAACATGAGCGTAAATGATTTGTCGAAACTTCATCGTATATGCTTTGTCAAACATGAGCGTAAATGTTTTGTCATGATTTCATCGTATATGTTTTGTCAAACATGAACGTAAATGATTTGTCGAAACTTCTTCATCGTAATGAGCGTAAATGTTTTGTCATGACTTCTTCATCGTAATGAGCGTAAATGTTTTGTCATGATTTCATCGTATATGCTTTGTCAAACATGAGCGTATATGTTTGTCATAATTTCATCGTAATGAACGTATATGCTTTGTCAAGACTTCTTCATCGTAATGAGCGTAAATGTTTTGTCATGATTTCATCGTATATGCTTTGTCAAACATGAGCGTAAATGATTTGTCGAAACTTCTTCATCGTAATGAGTGTAAATGTTTTGTCATGACTTCTTCGTACATTTTTTG